GGTAGCAAAATATTAACCGTTTCATGTGGACAGTGTTTTATAAATCATGCTGGTCTTTTTGGTTATGGTGAAATCAATCGTTGATATCACCCCAACAATAATGAACCATCTGACATTAGTATAAAAGATAACCGAGCTGTTTCTACCCCCGTGCTCGACAGTATGAGTACGAGTGGGAACATAGCCGTCAAATGCGGTTCCAAACGCATCAGTCCAGATGAATTTGCGTTCTTTCTTTGGTGACCGGTGTGGTGTTCGAGTAATTGATGCAAATGCAGAACAGGTTTCCTGCACCATGAAGCTTTTCCAAGAAGAGCACGGGATCGGGTCATTTATGTGAGTTTTGACTGATATTTAGCTACAGTTATTACTTTTTGGAAAAGTGTGAAGGATCTCTACATATCTAGTTTATCAGAGACGCAAATTTATCATGTAAAAGTGTTCACATATCCGATTGAAGACACAATTCTGCGACATATAGCGACGTTAAGATAGGTGGAATTTTCTAGCCTGATATCGTTCGACCAAAATCTATAAAGGCAGAAAACGCTGAGTTGGTACAAGAGGAGCAAGAACTAAATGCACTTGGCTCTAAAATGCAACTTCTGCGTCCATACAGTGAATGTCATCGGCACCAATTCAGATAATCCATTCTTAATTATGATAATCGTCTTGTGGTCGTCCACATGTTCTGCTTTAACCTAAACGACGGTTTGCGAGGTAGGACCTAAGGTTCTAGTAAGCCTATGGTTGGTAATGGCTGAATAATAAGAATTAATAAACCAGAGCTGGACATCTAAATCTCCGTTATCTTTATCGGTAATGTCATTCGCTGTTGTGTGGCTGCTGGGGCCCTAAGATGAGCCACAAAGCACGACAGTACGTGTTTGTCACGAGCGGTGAGGACGCATCTACCATGAACATTCCTGTCTGAGGCAACTTTCCAGCCTCTAAAATTGATTTTTCTCCTATAGGAAATTAATTATTGCTTTCTCAAGCGCGGTTTCCATTACTTAACAGGAAATGCGGGTCCGACTGACGAGTCGATACGTGTTGACACGAATTCAGGCACCATCCTTATATATAGGGTGGATAATTGCCAATTCGAGCGGACATGCGCGTCCAAGGAAGTAATGGAGGGGAAGCAGGTGTGAACGCTGAGAAATATTCGTTGCCTTGCACTTGGATGGCAGTCGCCCTAATTAAAATTTCGAATAGGAAATATGATCCATTGATATGGCAGGTTTACTTGAAAATTATCTTAAGAACTTCGTTGGCCTACTCTCCACACGAGGTGAAT